GTAATCCACAACGGGAAACTTACGGAATCCTTCGAAGAAGTGAAGAAGGGAGTAAGACAAAGCTGGCTGACTGCCTACTATCTTCAATGATTTTCCTGATTTCGGTAGACTTGATAATGCGACAGACATTGGGCAGCGAGGAAACAGGAATAAAATGGACCCACACAGAAACTTCGAGGATCTGGACTTTGCCGATGATATATACCTGATGTCTCACAAACTGGAAGATATGCAAGCGAAAAGCAACAAGTTAGCAGAAGAAGCATCCAGAGAAGATAGGACTTCAGGTGAACATAGAGAAAATAGAGGTGATGATGAAGACTACTGGCCAGCAGCGATGGCAACAGCAACAACATCAGACAACAATCAGTATAAATGGGAGAAATGTGAAAGAAGCAACCTCATTTACATACCGACCAACCTGGGAAGCATCGTTTCAACTACAGGCGGACGGAACTGATGAGGATGTCAAAGCAGCGAGGATCGGAAAAGCAAAGTAAGCTTTCATCACATTCAAGTCTGCGTAGAGATCAACAGCACTACTCAGCATCCAAAATACGATCCACATCTTCAGCTCCAATGTGAAGTCAGTGCTACTCACTATACGGATCTGAGATTTGACGCCAAGCCACGTCACGAAGCGCACTTCAAAAAAACTACACACCTTCATCAACAGCTATCTGTCTTCGCTCAATACGTCGCTCAAGATCAGATGGCCGGCCAGAAATGATCAGCAACAAGGAGGGATCTCTGACAATGAAACCAACAAATCAACCCAACAAGAACCAATTGTGCAAGAAATATGCAGGAATAAATGGAGGTAGGTGGATTGGACTGGCCATACTGTGAGAAAACAAACCATCAAGTGACATCACTAGACAAGCCCTCGAGTGGAACCCGAACGGGAAGCGGTGAGTCGGTCATCAGTGTGAGAGTGACAAAAAGTGGATGAGGTCATGTGAAGAGGAGATGAAAGCATGTGAGCAGACTTGGAGCCAGGTGAAGACTCTAGCAGAGAACCGAATGCAATGGAGACGTGTAGCTGAAGCCCTATGTTCCTCTAGGAATTAAACGAAACAATAATAATTATAATTTGCCGTTGGATTGTTGCATTTTATAGGGGTTATTGAAGCATCATCTTGTCATACTTGTAAACTGCGTATCGGAGGTCAATTATTCGTCCCTTTTTCGCAAGCAAGTTTCAGCAATATATACTATCATGAGATTTTATATTGCTTTATGGTGGATAGTTGTAGAGTTAACAACGTGCATCTGTTCCTCCCTCTTCAATTTGCCAGTTGGTTTTATGCCTATCCTGTTGTCTGATTGTTTACTTTTTTATTAAACTACAAACACAACATCCCTGTTTAAACATCAAAAGTACTATTTCTTTTAAACTGCCGACATTTTTATGCAGTAAGTAGCCTATTTCATTTCCTACCCAATCGAGCGGAACATACACCTTGAAGCTTTGAAGTTCCAGTAACAAGTCGGGGTTGTTAGCCTCACACTCACCCAACCTTCTTTGTCTTTCTCAGGCTTACTGAAGGCTAGTGAACTAGGCGAGATTTAAGGATAACTCGACCGGAAATCGATTCACAAACTTACACCTGGTTGGTAGTCATTCAACTACTGGACAACCGACGCAAATGCAGTAGATTTTAGTTATAATTTGCTGTTGATTGTCCGTCTTTCTTTGTTTGTTTTACAAGAAGGAATCAGCTAACAGAAGGGTAGACTAGATGACTCATAAAGTGATGCATTTGAAGTCAAAATCTATAATTTTTAAGTCCAGGAGTTAATTAAGTTTTAATTACTTTTATATTTCTCTTTATTAATCCGCTTTAAAGGAACAAAATGGTACCAATAGCTCAAACAAGCTAATAACTATATCACGCTTAATGCTAAGAAGTCCAATAGATTAAATAAGAAACATACAAATTTTGAGCTGTCTTGTCGAGGGGCCAGGGAACACAATGAGAAGAGGGTGTTCTTGGATGTTAACTGTCAGAAGTTAGCTGCCATAAAGATCTTAACATCCAGAAACACTAGGAAAACATGAGGTAAGTTCCTTCCCAACCTACGAAGGTGATGTTGTATTTAAGTCGTGACAACTTTCCCAGTAAAATGTAATTTTATCTATCGACATTTATAGGCATTAAATTAATCTACACATTTCCGTGATTAAAAATTCTTAGTGTCCACTATTATTATTATTACTGTTTCCTTTAGTTCCTAGAGGACCAAAGGGCTTCAGCTGCACGCCTCCATTGTGTTTGGTTCACTGTCAACGTTTTCCCCTGCCTCCACAACTGCCCACATGATTTCATCTGCTCTTCTCACGACCTCTTCATGCCACACTACCACTTATGACCACCTCGCTGCTGCCCATTCCGGGTTTCACTCGAGCATCGGCCTGGAGTGTAATGTCACTCACTTGATGGTTTGTTTTCTCAGAGTGTGACCTTCAGTTCACCTACCTCCATTTCTTCCTGCCTATTTGTTGCACAATTGGTTCCTGTTGGGTTGGTTCATTGACCGAGATCCTTCCTTGTTAGTGATCATTTCTGGCCGGCCATGTGATACTGAGCGAAGTATTGAGCGAAGATATCTGTTGATGAAGGTGTGTAGTTTGTTCGAATTAGCCTTCGTGACGCAGTGCGGTGCCAATTCTTTGATCCATATAGTAAGTAGCACTGAGTTCACAATAAAGTTGAAGATGCGCATCTTATATTTCATGTTGAGTAGTGCTGTTGATCTCCACACAAACTTGAGAGAGATGAAAGCTTGCCCTGCTTTCCCAACCCTTGCTTTGATATCCTCGACAGTTCCATCCGTCTGTAGCTGAAACGATGCTTCCCAGATAGGTAGCATATATCGCATACTAAGTGATCCACAACGGAAACATCAGCAAAGCCTTTGAGGTGAAGACAGGAGTTAGACAAGACTGCACACTATCACCGACAGTATTCCTGATTCTGGTAGAATGTATCGCGAAACACACTGTGGGGGTGGGGCGATATGACGAGCATAAGTTGGATCAACAAGAAGACACCAGAAGATCTAAACTTCACATGCAATTTATGTCTGTTATCACACAAAGTTGAAGGTCTATAAATGAAAACCAAAAAATGGGCAAAAGAAGCAAGCAGCGAGGATGGAACTTCAAGTGAACTTAGAGAAAACGGAGATGATGAAGATAACCAACCAGTAACAACAACAACATGCATCAGTTGCCATCAGTGACAGAAATTTGAAAGAGACAACTTCCTTTGATGAGAATGTCATTGCCAGCCAGGAGTGTAAATCTGTTGCACTCAACATAAAGAACAAGGTTCAGATTTTCAGCGCCGGTGTTAAGTCAGCTCTTCTATACGCTTCACAGACTTGGTGCATCACTCAAAGCATTCAGAACCGGCTGAAGGTGGAGGATACGTAACAAGCTACTTTGGTAACAAACCAGTCATAAACCTATTGCCCAGCAATTATGCAGAGTAGAATGAAGATAGAAGGAAGAAACGACGAAGGTAGTTTTGAATGACATCACGTGACAGACGACGAGCTGGGTGTCAAAGGATTGTGTTGGTGTGATACAGACAATGTCTGCCAACGGGATATTATTCTCACATATTCCCACAGTTCAACACTGCATTAGCAACAGAATACTACATATGTATTTGAACAATCTATTTCATGTCATTTGATGTAAACCAAAATCACACGCTCAGTGAATGGTTAAAGAAGATGAACCGTATAGGTATAAATAGCTGTTTGATCGCTTGAAAATATAACTGCGCTTCTGCTGTTACAGGACGGCAAGAAGGAGATCGTGTGAAGAGGGAATCTAAGCTTCTAGGCAACTGTAGAGTCAGCAAAAGAAGATCACAAAGAACAAGTTAAAATGAAGATATTCTGCTGAAGTTTTATCTTCCACAAGAAACCCAAGGGAATAATCATATTATTATTACAATTATTAGCAATCGTTCAATAAACCGGTAGATTCAGTGTATTCTAACGAAATTTCTAAGTAAATTTACTCGTATTAAAACAGATTACTTGGTGAGGACCTCAGAACGTTTTTGGAAGTACTTTCTTGAAAGGCTTGGTATAAACAATTTAATACTTGAAAATACAAACGCATTACATAGTTGGAGGCAATCGGCCACAGGAAGCCTACCTGACCCAGGTTTCGTGCTAGTTGGCACTCACCAGTTAGCAAGGCGTATCTGTAACCTTGAAGGAACTCATGTCCCTTCTGAGATTCGAACCCACGTCACCCAGTGCCACCTGCAATCAGAGACGTTACCACTGAGCTCTCTATTCCGGCTCGTGACTGACCACCTGTAGGACTGCACTGGATATGTTTGATTGGACACTAGTAACTAGTGCGACGTGTCTAGTCCTCTCTTTGGTTCAGACTGAATTCTCAGAAGGAGTATGAGTTCCCTCAAGGTTACAGATATGCCTTGCTGACTGGTGAGTGCCAACTAGCACGAAACCTGGGTCCTGGCAAGGCTTCCTGTGGCCGATTGCCTCCAACTTATCTAATATCATCAAATCAATGTGCACCGTGATGGCGAGCTACCTAGTAGCATGGTGGCCACATTGCAAACCTGACTGACTGATAGAATTCAGTTTGCACCACAGAAAGGACTAGACACTTCGCACTAGTTACTGGTATCCAATCAAAATACAAACGTACATAATCTAAACCCTAGTAATTAGAACAATTTCACTTACTTCAGGTATTCTTTCATGAGCACTTTTTGATCTTCGAGAATTACGAAATTTTAAACGTGCAGCTATACCTCTAGATCTATTTGTACTGTTAGCTGTACTATTTGTCTGATCTAAAATTACACGTGGTGTTGTGTTGAAAGGATTTCTTGTTTCACTATTGCAACGTACATTCAAATGATTCAATGGGAGAAATGATTGATCTGATATTGTTCTAGTAATCGCCTAAGGAGAAGAAAAACAAAACAAAATTAATGAGATAAAAAGTTTTAAAAAAGAGGGAATTGAGCAAAGATAATTAATATTTAAACTAAATTAATTTACATGAGTCCCTTTGTAAAGTAGAAACAAAACTGATTTTAACAGGTAAAATCTGATACCTATTGAACGATCGGTGGCTGTCGTGGGCTAAGTAGTCTTATGGATAAGGCTTTGACATTTGAAAGCATGGGTGCAGAGATCGAATCTCAGTAAGAGCACCAATACTCGCTGAGATTTGCAGGTACATCAAATAGGACAAAACAGATATCCTGGAGTCCATCACCAATTAAAGCGATATTCTGTATATGAGTGTTCCGAAAGTGACTTTATGTATATTTCGTATTGAAAACCCTTTTAAAACAATTAGTTTGCTTTATGAATTTAGACAAAGCAATAAAAAGACCTAATTTGTCCAAAGCGGGTTATGTATGTATTTGCGCAACACACATTTCGAACAATCTGATCACACTCCATGGACTTTTCATAGGATTGTATACACATGAAATTAATAGAGAGTTAGGAGGTAAAAAAAATAGACTTGGGTCAAGTTTAAAGGACATATTGAAGGTCAAAATAACAATGAAGATCACTAAATCAAATAACAGAGTTAATAGTACATCTACAGTGGCCGCCGGTGTCGAAATAAAGTTTACGAAGGAAGGTTGAGTGTGATGACGAAGTCTTGCTTTGAACGCATAAAGGTGCTTTATACTTCCAAATTGCCAGCTAGGGCTTCCACAAACTTTAGGATACACCCCAAACACGTTTCACAGATAGATAGGTTTAAAAGACATGTAAACATCAATTTTATGTCCTGTCTCCTCTGTAATATATTTCGCAATAGAGGAGCTAGTTCTCCTGTTCTCATGAAAAGAAACATGCTTTCAATGCTTTGTAGCTAAATAAATGTTGTTTATCGAGCTTGACCACGGATTGGTATCATTCTGAGGAACACCAAAAACCACCAGGGAGTGATGGACAGCTGTTTCATCCCAGTTTAGTATTCATCAGCAGTACGCACCCACCAAAAGGGTTTCGAACTCAGCACCTTCCAGCTACAAGGCAAGCTCGTAGACCATTCAGCCACTGGTAAGCGATTCAATGACCCATGAATTATAACTTCTTCTAATTCGTGATTTTAGCGCAACCAACAACCAATGTCATTGGTGGGAAATTCATCCACACTCCCGACTGGATGAACCTCACTTGTCATGACTTCTCACTAAAACTCAAGGAAACTACATCCCGTAGCAAGTCGCTAGCGAGCATCACATTAATTTTCAAGAGTTGGTTTGAAAGGATTAGATTTGTTTTACGAATTTGACCACGGATCGGTATCAGTCGTCGCGCTCAATCACGAGTCGGTAGAAGTTAGAATTCATGTGGTGATCATTGAATCGGGTTCCAAGGATTGAATGGTCTACGAGCTTGCCTTGTATCTGGAGGGTGTTGAGTTCGAAACCTGTTTGGTAGGTGTGTACTACCGATGATTCCCAAACTAGACTGACGAAGTAGCTGTCCAGCAGTCTTTGGCGGTTTTCAGTATGTCTGTCTAACTGATACTAACCCGTGGTCGAACTCGAAAAACAAATCTAATCCTAACAAACCAACTGTTGAAATGTTATCCGTAAGAAATCAAGGCATGATACGCGATGCCTGCATTTATTATGTAACACTTTATCTACTTTTCATCTTTACCGTCTCTTTTTTTGAAAGCATCAAAATATGTGGGGTTAGATGATTTTCTGAATAAACAAAATTCTTGTCTGTGCATAAACCTACATGACAACAATTGGTAAGCTAAATCATGAATCCGAATCGGTCATTTGATTGTAGTCAATATCTCTGTCTAGTTCCAAATATCATGTTATATCAGTAACTGGTGTCAATTAGAATACCATTGGAAACTATTACGTATCAGACAGCCATTTCGTTCACGCATGGTACGCACCTAATACCAAGGAGCCAACGATTGAACCCAGGACCTACTGCTACAAGATGAGACCACTGACGATGCGCCCACCTAGATGGAATCTCATAAAGAGTTTTATAAATTTTAACTTCTATCCTACATTTATTGGTGAGAATATGTCGACCGTATGTTGTGTAATGTAGTCGTTAAATTAAGGTATACGAATATGTTGTAAATTGTGGTTCACTTTAGAGAAATATAAAATTCACACTGGGTCATAGGAGTTATTAAAAAGATAATTGCAGCGAAGAAAATTTTCTTCTCGATGAAGTCATCATCTAGGCTGTACATTCGTGTATTTATATCAAATGGATGGGAAAGTTCCGGAAAAATTTCCGGTTAAGGGTCAAATTAATAAAAATTACAATTAGGAATTAGTATGGCATAATAAACAGGGGGGGTGGATAAAACTCGAACAAAGTAGCATTATAATAACTAAGAAGATTGACATTGTTCAATTGGGGGTTAGAAATGTAGAAATAACAAATCAAGACATCGGGGTATAGCTGAGGCTTTAGCTATCCAAAAACTCAAACCCCCACTTTGTATCCAAAAGAAATACGTCCAACTCCTGTCCCTGCCATGGCCATCATAAACAGGTAAAATTGTTTTTAGTAATGACCATCCCATCGCCTTTCTTATCTAAACTTCCTGTTTATTCATGTTATTTTAAGTTTTCTTAATCCCTGTCTACACTACCATATTTTCATACCCACTCTTCCTGTTTATTTTGTCATTTTACTATTTCTGCATATTTAATCCCTGATTGCATAAACAAGTATTCATCATATTAGTTTTTTATCCAAACTTCCTGTCTATTTTGTTATTTCTACATTTCTAACCCCCAATTGCACAATGTCAATCTTCTTAGTTATTATAATGCTACTTTGTTCGAGTTTTATCCGTCCCCCTGTTTATTATGGCATACTAATTCCTAATTGTAATTTTTGTTAATTTGACCCTTAACCGGAAATTATTCTGTAACTTTCCCATCCATTTGATATAAATACACGAATGTACAGCTTAGTTGATGATTGCGTCGAAAAGAAAATTTTCTTCGCTGCAATTTTCTTTTTAAATATAATATTCTATTTATTTTAATTCCCTTGGGTTCCGAGGGGAACATGTAGGGCTTCAACAAAGCATCTCCAACTTCTTCTATTTGAAGCTGTTCTCTTCAGATGGCTAGCTCCACGATTGTCCATAATCTCTAATCTCATCCCCAACACACAAAATCCTCTATGCTACCCCCACATTAACAACTTGCTTGTCGCTTCCCATTCGAGTTCCACTCAAGCAATTGCCTGCATTGTGTGCGATGTCATTCAGTAGCCTGCTCAATGTATACCGAATCCATCTCCATTTTCTCCTATATATTTTTTGAGCAATCCGCTCTTGGTTGGATTGTTTCCAGGCAGAGTTTCTGGTTGCTAATTCTTTCTGACCGGCCGGTTGACCATTCGGTCTCCATTATGGAGCCAGCGAAGGTGGCAGATGTTGATAACAGAATGCTACCTGTTGGAAATCGTCTTCGTGCCACGCAGTGCAAGTTACTGACTAACTGGCCTCACATTTGTGTTGGAAATCTGAATCTTGTTCCTGATGATGGCTGAGTCAGTGCAGAAGATTTCTAAACTGGTTTCAGGCTGATGAAGGCGTATCTTGCCTTTCCGATTTTGGATAGCCAGCTTTGATATTTTCATTCGTTCCGATATCCTGTAGTTGAAACCATGCTTCCTGACCAGATAAGTGAAGGAAGTAACCTCTATCAAATCTCTCCCACTGATCGTGACTGATTTTTGCTGTTGGTGGTGGTGTTTATCTTCACCACCACTTTCCCTATATTCACGTGGAGCCCTGTCTTTGCTGCCTATCTCTTCTGCCATTTTGTTGGTTTACGCCTGCCTGCAAGTCTTCAAGTTTTTTTGACATTAAAAATAAATAATCCACGAGTTAATTCCAGATCTTCTGGAGTCATTTTATCGATCGCCCTATAGCCGAGTTTACTAGCTCGCTAGTTTTCTAGCAGATCTTAAGCTCGGATAAAGAAGATGGGTTCGGCGTGAGGATAGCGACCCTAAACCACAAAACATTTCAAACTGCTATAGAAACTTCAACGCACAATTATTGTTATTGTTTCCTTTAATTCCTAGAGGAACATAGGGATCCAGCCACGCACGTCTTCATTGCGTTCAGTTCTCCGCAAACGTTTTCATCTGGCTCCATGTCCGCCCACATGCTTTCATCTCCTCTTCAGATGACCTCCTCAAATCCACATCACCCTCGCACTGACGACCAGCTAACTCGCCTCTTCTCATTCGGGTTACACTCAAGCAAGGCCTGACATGAAATGTCAATTGATGGTTTGTGTTTCTCAGAGTATGGCCTCCAATCCACCTACCTCCATTTCTTCCTGCACACCCTTTTGTTGCACAACTGGTTTCTGCTGGGTTGGTTCGTACATTGCCAGAGATCCCTCCCTGTTGCTAATCATTTCTGGCCGGCCATCTGATCTTGAGCGAAGTATTGAGCGAAGACAACTGTTTATGAAGTTTTGTAGTTGTTAGAATTGCCTTCCGTGACTCGGCGTGGAGCCAGGTCTCTGATCTTTATGGGTAAGTAGCACTGAATTCATATCTGGAGTTGAAAATCTGGATCTTATTTTTCATGTTGAGTAGTGCTGTTGATCTCCACACAGACTTGAGAGTAATGAAAGCTCGCCTTGCTTTCCCAATCCTTGCTTTGATATCCTCATCCTTTCCGTGTAAAAAAGTCATTTTTGACATAGATGACATTAAATAGCCCTACTGACGTGTTGTTTTTTCTTTGCCTAGTTACTGTTACAAATATTTCCGTGTGTTTATGAGTAAGTGATCATGTTTGCCAGCTGTTTCCAAGAAAAACTTCCTCAATCCACCTTCTAATTTTAGTATATACTACTAACCGACTGACAGTAGTAATTGGACAGCATTCATATCAACAGACAAGGCTTGCCAGCCAGGTAGGTCGAGGAGATCTAAACTCCAGACAGCTATTTAGGTCATTTAGGAGAGAGTTAGCTTATCATGAGTGTGATGGATTTTGACTCAGCTCAGGGAACTAGAATGCGATGAAACTACCGGCTAACCATATGGGTGAGCTATTTCAGATTTAGTATGTATGCATACCTATGTATCAGAAGTTCGTCCCAGTAGCCAGACAGAATTTAAGTGATATGAACAGATTCACTGCATTGCTGTTGAGCTGGGTTCTAAGAGAGAGAAACATTCCTATAAGTATAAAACTTGGCCACTGTGGTGGTAGAGTATAACTCCATTATAGATAGATAAGATTTTATTTTGATAAATCACACAGTGTTTGTTATCCAGTAATATTGACCACCTTTCGAGTACAAATTATTACTGCTCATAATCATATCAAGTCACTCACTCACACCTTTCTTGCTTCATTTATATACATGAGTGAAATTGATGATTAGACATTTGAATAAAAATCAATACAAGATAAGAAAGTACATTCAGAAATAATAATATGAGTGTTATCAATCAAGTACAATCAGATGGGAAATAAGACGAGTGTTTTTATAGTCGAAATAAGTAACTTGTTAGAATGTTAGAATGTACGTGACTTGAATTGAAATAGAATTTTGAGATTAATTACTGTCCTCCTCTGATTTGACTGACTGATGGTAATAATATCTTCCACATCTCTGGTATATTTGCATTGAGTCATTTCTGTTGCATGTGTTGAGTGTGGACTCAATGAACCAGGCAGGATTCAGTAAGCAATCTCTCTCGAGCTCCACCTACCTGTATTACTTCTTAGAATTGTTACCCTCTCCCACCCTATTGTGTGGTTCTGTGTTAATGCATGCAGTGCATTGCTGAGCTTTTTTCCAAATAACTTATCTTCTTGGGGTCAACCATTCTTACCTTAGCTGATAACCTGACTAATCCCGACCTACTAATTAGTTTGAACTATATAGTTGACCTCACCCAGAGTCATTGGAAGATATTTTGTAAATTATATTATTTTGTTTAATTGGGTCAACCGACTGGGTCCTTTAGCCGACAGAGCTTGTCCTACCTGAGTGAGTTTGTAAGTTTAAATGCCACTCTAATTCTTGCTTTATTAAGAATCCTACGTAGGGTGGTCTCAGATGTCCCCTCGTTATATGTAATTATACTCTACCACAGTGCCCAAGTTTTTTACTTATATATATATATATATACATATATATATAGGAGGAGAGAGAGAGGATAAACGGGGCGGCGTGCTTGAATTATTAGGCTACCTAGATTTCTATTCAACACAGTGCATTGTATTTTCTTTGATTTTTATTTTCTTGATCTTTCAGTTATGTCCTTGAGTCGTTAAATCTACTAACTCACACTTTCAAAACTATAGATGCACATTTCGTGGAAACAAAGGAAAATTTCATAAGGGATTAGTCTAGGCTTCAGATGTAACAGCAGTGAGTCACAGGGTATACTAGACAATTTGATTTTATTTGAAAATTCCGTATTAAGAAGAAATATTTTTTAATAAATTACACTGAGAATCTTGTATACTGAGTAAAAATTCTGTTCAGAATAAAGCTACTGTTTATTTTTGCTTTTATGAGTTGATCACGGATTGATATCAGTTAGAGAACCATTGAAAACCAGCACTGGAGTACTGCCAGACAGCTGTTTCATCCTAGCTTTAGGAATCATCGCCAGTACGCATCCACTGGAGTTCGAACCCAGGACCCTCCGTTTACAATACAAGCTAATTTACCATTCAGCTATTGGGACCCCATCCAATGGTCAGCCCATGAATTCTAACTTCTACCAATTCGTGATTATAGCGCAACCACCAACCAATGTCATCGATGGGAATTCCATCCTCACTGCCGACTGAATGGACCTCACTGGTCACGACTTTTCACTAGGCACTCCAGGCATTTCCGTCCTGTATCAAATCACTAGCGCTAAATGACAAATTGGTAGAAGTTAGAATTCATGGACTGGCCATTGAGGGGTCGCGTCCCAGTGGCTGAATGATACACAATCTTCCTGGCCTTGTAACCGGAAGGTGCTGGGTTCAAACTCCACTGGGTGCCTGCTGGCGATGAGTCGTAAACTAGGCTGACAAAACATCTGCCCAGTACTCCCTGTGGCTGGTTTTCAATGGTTCCCTCTCTAACTGATATCAATCTGTGATCAACTCGTAAAAACAAAACTAATCCTTAAAAACCAACTATAGAAAATATTATTGACTTTATTATTATTGAATGGCGGACTGCTTAAAATTTGAGCTACCGAAAATCTTCATCAATGTATTGCTTACAGTTTCTTTTATTCACTTTGTTTAAAACTAGTAAGAAATGATCTCTAGTAGTGTTGTTTACTCTGGCGAGTATTTAAAACATTTGCAGGCTGCAGTTTCGCAAGTTTCTATTAAACATGAGAAAAAGCGTTATCCTGGATGGCAGCTTATCCAACAGCTTCTCAGTGGTGTCTTTGGTTCGCAAAATTTGTTCCTGAAACTTTTTATAATTGGCACTCAACAAAATATCACCGTGTGTTTCTCGAACGAGACTAAGAAGAGATATCATCATAATGGACTGGTTTACGTTTCAGCCCACATAAAGCTATGTCTTATGACCTACTGTCGATCAAATCTTCTATTTGAAGATCCTGGACACAGAGGAAAGGTCATGCAGTAAACTCCGCCAAAAATTCTGTACATTGTATAAACATTGTTTATTTGGTTTATTTAGCTGATATCACTCAGAGAATCATTGGAAAACTTCAGAGTACTGAACAGCTGTTTCGTGCTGGTTTGGGACTCCTCATCAGTCACACTCACCAGGGTTCCAACCCAGGATATTCCGGTTACGAGGTGAATTTGTAGACCATTTAGTCATTGCAAACCGATCCAGTGGCTCATGAATTCCAGCTCCGGCTAATTTGCAATACACACAGCGTAACCTTCAGTTAGTATCATCAGTGAATAAAAGTTCTCTTACCAGACTTTATGGACCCGTTCTCGTCACAATCTCCCACCAGAACCGGAATGCCGTGAGTTCGAATCACGGCAAATGCATACCAGTGAAGAACCCAAAACTGGGGCGAAACAGCTGTCCAACACCCCCTGCTGATTTTCCAATGGTTCTCTAACTTCTCTCAGCTTATGCTCAACCTATTAACCAATCAAATCTGTGTAAACCAACACTCAGTAACATATATAATTATCAGTTTTGCTTACCATTTCTTCCCAACATAATTGTTCATATTTTTCCATTTCTTCAGAAAGACGTTGTAACAGTAACTGTTTCCTATTGAATAATTCAGCTAATATTTTCTCTTCATTATCATCAGCTGCACATACATCGGTGGATTTCGTCTGCTGAGGTTTGCTTTCATTATTGATTTTATGCCCTGAATCATTTTGATTTGTTGATGAATTGATTGACTGATGTTGGCTAGGTGTATTCACTGGTGGATGATTAGCAGAGGAGTTATCATTGTTAGGTTTGCTTTTCAACTGGATTCCATCTGCAGTCTGAAGGTTCTCATCAGATCTATTATTATCGTTATTATTGTTATCCTGAATGTCGGTGTGTGCAACGACCATTATTTGAAGTATTGAAATACGAATATGAAGGAAAATAGAAACCTGGTGAGGTTAATTAGCGTTCGACTATTTGGATTGTTGGCATTCGGATACAGAGATTAAGTGTTTTCTTCGTTTTCTTCTTCTTCAATTTTGATCTCTACTCATAATGATATCTAAAATTATACAAACAACAAGAGATTTAAATGTTGATAATAAATTTATGATGTCATTTGACGTATCTTCTTTATTCACCAATGGAAACAGTGGACTTTATATGTGAAGAACTCAAAAGACGAAACATCGAGATTGGCATTCCTATAGCTTCCATGAAGGAGCTTCTCTTGAAATGTACAATGAATGTCCACTTTTTATTTAATAAGGAACTGTATAGACAAATGGACGGTGTGGCAATGGGGTCACCACTAGGACCCATTCTAGCCGACATTTTCCTGGCGAAACTAGAAAATGGGCCTTTGAAAGATGTTATTAATGAACTCGAATTTTATTGTCGATACATGGATGATACTTTTTGATTATGAAGAACGAAAAGGAGGCAAAGAACATCCTGGATAAATTTAATGAGGTACATCCTGCAATAAATTTTACTATTGAGAAAGAAAAAGACTCTAGTATTTCATTTTTAGGCGTCCTTATGACCAGAAAAGAGGATCGCACAATAAGAAGAAATGTTTATAGAAAACCTACATCAACGGGCCAATACACACATTTTCTCAGCTTTGTGCCCTTGAAATACAAACGCAATCTAATAAAGTGCTTGGTCCACAGAGCAAGAGAGATTTGCTCGGATGAATGTCTTGACGAGGAGCTTAACAATATTAAACGGTTGCTAAGTGAGAATGGTTATCCCGAAAAGTTTATTGATAAGAATATGAATCTAAAACCAAAACAATCCAAGGTACCATCAGTTCCAAAGAAAGCCTTGTTCTTACAGATGCAGTTCCTAGGAGACAACACAAGTGAAATACTAACACATCGCCTCAGAAATGCGGTAAAAAGAGCATTCCCTGCTGCTCAATTACGCTGTATCTTCAAAACCACTCCTCTTCTGCGTTCGGGAATAAAAGACAGGCTGCCTAATTTCGCTTCTTCCATGTGTATATACCAATTCAACTGCTCCTGTGGAGCCAGTTACATAGGCCGTACAATTAGGCGTGTTTCTCGTCGAATTTCCGAACATCACCCTACCTGGTTAAGCAAAGGTCAAACAAAATCTATTCGCAGTGCTATTCTGGCGCATCTTGTGGAGATAGGCGTTAATCATGCTTTCAGGGTCATTTACCGCATGCCTATGAATCTCAATTTCGCTTTAAGAGTTCGACTTCTAAATATTGCTGAGGCTGTGGGAATTCATATTAGTAAGCCTAATTTATACACCCAAAAGAAGTTAGTCCAGTCATTATCATTACCTTGGCCATCCAGGTTTGAATAATCCAGAATTTTTGTGAAATTTCCCTAATTTTAGTTGATATTCTATTCGCTATTATATCTTTATTATAATTTAAGCATCTTTAATGAACTGTAATAGCATTGATCATACTTTACAAATTGATTTGATTTAAAAAAACACCAATATTGTTATTGACTACTATTCTAGAATATTCTGTGTGTATAAACATATGTGTATATAATTGTAGAGTCAGAAGAGGAATTTATCGAAAAGAATATTCTTTGCTCGATTATTTTGTTTTTATAGATGTCTGAATGAACATTTTTGCAAGATTTAAACTGTCAGTGAACGAAAATCTGTAATTTATACTGCAACGATACTTCATCTGAGTAAACCAGCTTATACAATGATTCCCTTTTATGAATTTGAACAAAGAAAGAAGAAACATTGGCGCGCAGAATAATCTGGATCCATTTTATTTCGTCGGTTCTCATCAGCAGATGCGTACAACCTGAATTCTTTAATAAAATAAAAATAAAAAGTGTACAATTTTAACAAACTTTTGTCCATTAGCAAGCATATTGTCAGAGTGTCATAGTGAAATAAGGCGTTGTGATTTACAAGGTGTCTAAAGTGTTACGACATATATATATATATATCTTGTTAGAGAGGAGTTTCTTGAAAAAAATTAATTGACAGTTGTGTTGTTGGAGTGGTAACAAAAGGAAATTAGTAATAGTTATCTCTGTCTACTGCCTACTATCGCCAATTATTTTCCTGATTGCAGTAAACTGGATAATGCGACAAACAGCGGGCAATGAGGAAACAGGTATAAAATGGACTCACACAAAAAACATGGAGGATCTGGACTTCGCCGATGATATATGTCTGATTCCCCACAAACTGGAAGATATGCAAGCGAAAAGCAACAAGTTGGCAGAAAAAGCATCCAGAGAAGATAGGACTTCGGGTGAACATAGAGAAAAGAGAGGTGATGAAGATTCCTGGCCAACACCACCAACAGCAACAACAATAGCAGACAACAATCAGCATAAATGGAAGGAACCTGAAGGAAACAACCTCCTTTACCTACCTGGGAGGCATCGTTTCAAATACAGGCGGACGGAACTGATGGGGATATCAAAGCAAGAATCGGAAAAGCAAAACAAGCTTTCACTACTCTCAAGTCTGTGTAGACGTCAACAGCACTCAGAATCAAAAATAAGATCCGAATTTTCAACCCCGATGTGAAGTCAGTGCTACTTACTTTACGGATCAGAGACTTGCACTGCGCGTCATAAAGAGCATCTCAAACAAACTACAGACCTTCATTAACAGTTGTCTGCGCTCAATACTCAAGATCAGATGGCCGGAAAAGATCAGCAACAGGGAGGGATCTCTGGGAGCGAACCAACACAGCAGGAACCGATTGTGCAACAAATAAACAGGAAGAAATATAGATGGATTGACTATATTCTGAGGAAACCATCAAGTGACATCACTAGACAAGCCATTGCTCGAGTGGAACCCGAAAGGGAAGCGGCGAGTTGGTCGTCAGTGCAAGGGTGACTTGTAGGAGGTCATGTGAAGAGGGGATGAAAGGATGTGGGCAGACTTGTAGCCAGGTGAAGACTCTAGCAGAGAACAGAACGCAATAGAGACGCACGGCTGAAGCCCTATGTTCCCCTAGGAATTAAAGGAAACAATAATAATATAATAATAGTTATCTAATTACGTAACTGTTACTAATTTTCTTTTGTTACCACCCCAACAACACAACTGTTAATTAATTTTTTTCAAGAAACTTCTCTCTAACAAGATATATATATATATGTCGTAACACTTTAGACACCTTGTAAATCACAACGCCTTATTTCACTATGACACTCTGACAATATGCTTGCTAATGGACAAAAGTTTGTTAAAATTGCACACTTTTTATTTTTATTTTATTAAAGAATTCAGGTTGTACGCATCTGCTGATGAGAACCGACGAAATAAATTTGATCCAGATTATTCTGCGCGCCAATGTTTCTTCTTTCTTTGTTGAAATCAGCTTACTTAAAAGGAGTATTAATCATTAGTGAATGATAACTAGAAGTCAGTCTCTTCATAAATTTCGGAGCCTTTTTTGACCTTTTAAAATCAATACCTTTTGATAGATACATTCAAACATTATACATTCTTGTTAATCAAGATGCTCTGGGCATGATTTCTATCTGTGAAGGACATTTTGAAATAAAAGAATGTCTTTGAAGGCCATCCTAACAACTATAGTTCTCATAACTATCCTTTGTTATTCAAAGGAACATTGTCATATAAGCCAAGCGGATAAGTACTCAACTGTCAGTATTACGATGGGATGCTTTCAATTCCTATGACTTTGCTAAATGTGAAATTACTTATGCTATATCCAACGTTGAATTTTAGATTTTCCCGTCGATTGATTGGATCGAAGTGCTCTGTCTCAGGTTGACATGTCGGCTTCTTGTGCAGATGCTTCGATGATGTCTGGGCTGGTAGTTAGAATTTAATTGGTGGATGGTGACTAGCAGTGGAATCCAGGATAACGCGCATTTCGTCCTTTTTGGGACTCGTTGGTGACTGGATGTACCTGCATTCCCCAGTCAATGAGTGGTGGTGTTCCCACCGAGACTCGAACCCACTGCCCATAGTTTCAAACGTCAAAGCGTTATCCGTTAGACCACTGGGGCCAAGACAGCTACCTTTTGTGCAACGGGTCATATTAATTATTTAATTGAATTTTAGATTTTCCCGTCCATTGATTGGACTGAAGTGCTCGGTTTCAGGTTAATATGTCGGTACATCCAGATGACGAGTCCCAAAATAGGACGAAATGTGCGTTATCTTGGATTCCACCGCTAGTAACCATCCACCAATCATATCCAATCTAGTTTCTAGGATGATTTTTAAAATCATTCAGAAAAAAAATGTGTTGATTTTCAAAAGAAGACACGCCGAGATTATGTACTACGGAATGATGGTTGACATAAGTAGCTGGACATTACTCACACTAACCAGTAGTGATTAACCATCAGATGGTTGAAGACAATCGGCAGGACGCCTTACCGGACCTAAGTTTCGTGCAATTTGGCACTCACAAGTTAGCAAGGTGGCGTATCTGAAACTTTGAAGGAACTTCTGAGATTCGAACCCGTGTCACTCAGTGATGCAATCAGAGACGTTACCAATGAGCCATTTGGGCTCGCGATTTACCTCCTGTAGGACTGTATTGGATAATTTGATTGGACACTAGTGCTTAGCTATCCAGATCGAACTGTTTTAAACACTGAACGGTTATTTCCCTCATCTAATAATAATAATAATAATAATAATAATAATAATCTGCTTTATTCCAAAACAAACAATACTTGTAATACAACATGGGATTCTCAAAAATTTGTCACGATATTCCATCTAAATTTACTCAAAATATAAATATAAAGTAACCACAGGAATTTGTCCACATTTACAGTAGGAATAAAGTCAAAAATGTGCAAAGTGCAGAGTGAGAATAATAACTAAAATAATAATAACAATGATTATAGCATGGTGAAGGGAAAAACAAAAAATAACAATTAATTACAGAGTTTGAATGATGTTCACACTTATGAGAAAATAAACAAAACAAAGAACTGAGAGGATTATAAATATAAGAAGAATAACAACAGTAAAGCTTGGTGGTGTAAGGATGGCAAAAATGGT